GTGCTCCCTTGTGTCCATTATTTCTTGTACCCCCCGATGTCTTGTGGCCATTATTTCTTGTAACCCACCAATCAGGTGGTGATTTGATCTGGAGGAGATTCGGTCCGATTCTGTGACTGAATCTCTGAATCCAAATCAAATCAGGGGACCAATTTAAAAGGTCCAAATCAAATCAAAGCTCTCCAAATCTCAAGCAGGTTCAAGGAGGTGATCTTCCCCCTCGATGCGACACTGGTCAGGCCGCAGTTGAAGTACTGCATCCAGTTTTGGGTGCTGCACTTCAAGAGGGATGTAGACAACATGGAGAGGGTCCAGAGGAGGGCCACCCGCATGATCGGGGGGCAGCAGGGCAGGCCCTATGAGGAGAGGCTAAGGGACCTGAACCTGTTCAGCCTCCACAAGAGAAGGCTGAGGGGAGATCTAGTGGCCATTTACAAACTGGTCAGTGGGGACCAGCAGGCATTGGGGGGAGTCCCTGTTCCCCCAAGCACTACCAGGAGTCACTAGAAATAATGGTCACAGGCTGCCAGAGGGTAGATTCAGGCTAGACATCAGGAGGTGCTACTTCACTGTCATGGCAGCTAGGATCTGGAACCAACTTCCAAGAGAAGTGGTGCTGGCTCCTACCCTGGGGGTCTTTAAGAGGAGGCTGGATGAACACCTTGCTGGGGTTGTTTGACCCCAGTACTTTTTCCTCAGGTCCCTTCTGACCCTACCTACTATAAAACTATGAAAAGATTTGGAGGCTTTGATGATTCAGGCAGTCCATGGTGGCTGCAGCAGGGAGCTGCAGCTGACTTTGAGCTGGTAAGTACTAGGGGCGGGGGACAGGACCATGGGGGGACCCCTGCCAGCCCCTCCCCCCCGGATGCCTGCCCGCTCCCCCAGCCCCCGCATGGCTGCCCCTGTCGGCCCCAGCTCGGTACTTTAAAAAAAGCTCTGGTGCTCACTGGGTGCTGCCGGGTGGGGGCCAATCCCTGCTGCCCCCCACTGCATGGGGGGCTCTGCATGAGCCCTGACCCCCCCCCCCCTCACTTTGCCAGCCTCCCCACAGGTGCCCTGCCCAGACCACCTCCAGCCCTTTAAGGAAAAAACAAACAAACAAAAACCAACAAAACAAGAAAAGCCCAGGGACTCACCGCTCCTGCAGCAACCTCAGGGTTTTGTGGGGGGCTGTGGAAAAGCCCCACACATGGTGCAGGGCAGTGGGGGACAGCAGGGATCACTACTTGCCAACAGGAGCCATCCAGGGGCTTTCTCGGGTACACCCGCTGAGTAGGGGCTTTTTTTTTTTTTTAAACAAGAGCCAGGAGCTGGGGTGGGCGAGGCAGCCATTGCTGGGCTGGGAAAGGGGCAGGGGATGGACCTGGCTTGGCTGATTCAGAGATTCAGCTGAATTGAATTGGGACAGTGATTCGAATCACTGAATTGAATCACTGTTCCCTGAATCAGCCGAATCTGAATCTGAAGCGAATACTAGCCGCTTCACACAGGACTATCAGGTAGCAGCATGGGACAGCAGTACTCCCATTCTAATGGGCTTTGACCTAGGTCTTTTGTATTTACCTTGAATACCTTGGAAGTGCTCTCAAAGCCTGCATCAGTAACCCCAAAAAGAGGCTTGTAGTCTACTGCCTATGCTCAGTTTTCACTAGTCTGTTAAACTGCAAGCTTGGCTCATCATGCACTTAGCCCCTGTTGTTTTTGGACTTAACATAGCCATAATAGATTAATCTTCTGGGACAAAATGACACCACAGTAACTGTGCTGTGACATGTGGATGCAGTGCTAGAGGTTTTAGAAATAACACATTAGAGTACCCCTGGCTCCCAATAAATCAGTTGACACCATCTTCATGTCAATAACAAGCAAAGAAGGGATAATCCATGATTAAGATCACAATAGCATTCAGGCAGGCAGGGCACCAAAAGTTTTACCTGCACGAAGAAGAATCACTTGGTCTTCCAGTGTTAGGTTTGAGAAGTGGGGGATTCGCTTGGCCCATTCAACTAGTGTGAAGAGCTGCTTGTCAGCTGCATGACATATGTTAGTGACAGGGTCATTCGTCTGAAGGAGGAATAGGGTAAAACAGGAAGGGAGGAAAAGAGAGAACATGCCATTAAGAATTTCAGCTCAATAAGAACCAGCAACAATTATCTTCCTCCCTGAAGATAAATATCCCACCAGGTGATAGTATAATATTAAATCTACCTTTTAGAAGAATTGCACTATATTTGAAGCCATACAGTTCCCTTTCATTCTTCTGGAATGCACTTCTGCAGGTTCAAATCTAGACAATTTATTATGTATCCAGTCCTCACTTTCCCTGCTTTTATCTACGGTATGTTGCATTATGTTTCTGGTTCTGTACCTTGTAGTCGTGTGTGGTAATTTTGGGAAATCCTTAAGTAAACACCCTATGAATGCAGGGGGCTGGACAAGATGACTAAAGAGGCCCCTTTCAGTCCTGTATTCCTATTATAGTTAATGGCAACTTGTTCCTGTTTGCTCAATGTCCTCGGTCAAATGATTCAAAGTCTCTGTCCAATTCCTACTGCAGTGGTCATGTCACAAAGCTATGGCAGTTTTGTTCCTACTCAGGAAAATCAGGCAATAAATTCAGAGCTCTCCAACAATATCTCATACACCCTCATGGATCCTGAAGTAATAGGACCCTGGGCTCCAAGCTCTGTCATGCACACACTAGCAGAAGACTCTAGAGCTGTAACTAGACTTCAGAAAGGTCATCTACCAATTAAAACAGCAGAGGTGGTGTCAGAAAACAGGAAAATAATTCACACAACTATTCTCAATGTTATTTTTACAAACTGGCTGATCAAAATAGATTTAAAAAAAAAAAGAAGAAGAAAGAAAGTGTTCAAATTAGCCTTTGGACTTTCAATGCAAAATGTCATTGGAAAAAAAAAGATCTGATAACGGCCAGTCCTACTAAACAGCCTGACAACCATAACAGCTCACTAGTGGTTAGAAACTCCTTCTCCATCTTCTGCTGAGCCTTCCAGGATTAATTAGCAATTACTTTGTTTTGATTGTGGGCTGCCACTGACTGGTTTCCCTTTCTTCTCCCTAGAGTTGGTTCCTTAATGGAAAAATAACAGTTGACCGGGCTTTAAACTTAGCTTGCCAGGGGATGGGCAGACAATCATCAGTGCAAGCTCACCAACGGTCAACCACAAAAATCAGAAGGTCAGGCTGCACAAGGGAACTCACTCCTACCCCAGTCCAGGGACAGGGCTCTTCTAGGAGTGCAAGGAAGCCTAGGGCCTCTGATGGCAGGCTCACTTGCCTATACACAAATGCCAGGAGCCTGGGCAAGAAACAGGAGGAACTGGCCCTTCTGCTAAACAGAAATGACTACCATCTCATAGGGATACATGGAGACCTGATGGGATTTCACCTATGACTGGACCTCAGCTATAGATCAGTATACCTTGTACAGGAGAGATCGTGCTGCAAGAAAAGGACAGGGGCGTAGCTCTCTATATGAAGGAGCAGTACACTTCCCTACAGGTGGAGACTGGCAACCAAGGAGGGTGACTTGAGACCTTCTGGGTAAGAATACAGGGGGAACATAGTGAAGGATATATAAAATGGTAAGAGTCTACAACAGACCTCCTAATCAGAAGCAAGAACTTGACCACAACGTCGCTATGGAACTGACTGAGGCTGTACGCTCTACGTACATGGTTGTCAGGAGCAAATTCAACTACCTTGACATCTCATGGAAAGAGCACTCAGCCAAGTCCAATCAGTGGCAATGCTTCCTCACATGCATTGATGAGCTTTCTTTGTCTCAAGGAGTCTACAGGCCAACAAGAGGCAAGGCACTCCTGGACCTGGTACTGGTCAAAGGGGATGATTTAGTGAGCGACCTGAGAATTGAAGGGAAGCTGAGAAACAGTGGCCACAAGTTGATCATTTTTTTTTATCCACCACAAAGCTGGCAAGTCAATCAGCAATGTAGAAGTCCTCGATTTTAGGAAAGCCAACTTTCACAAGCTCCAGAGGCTAGTAGTCAAGGTCCTGAGAGGCCATAATGTGACAAGGAGGGGAGTCCACGAGTGTGGTTGCTCCTCAAGGATGTGATCCTTGAAGCACATGGGAAGTCCATTCCAGCCCATAGAAAAAGTAGCAAAAGGGCTGGACAATTCCTTTGGCTCAACAGGGAACTCACGGACCTCCTGCGTCTAAAGAGAGAAACTTACAAAGGATGGAAGACAGGAAACACCACCAAGGAGGAGTATTCAGCACTGGCCCACACCTGTAGGGAGTGAACTAGGAAACCCAAGGCTGAAACTGAGCTGAAACTGGTTACACAAATCAAGGACAATAAAAAGTCCTTCTTCAGATATGGGGGAAGTTGGGGAAAAAACAAGGGCAACACTGGACCCTGACTAAACCAAATAGGACAGCTCATAACCAACACCCAGGAAATAGCAAATCTCCTTAACGATTATTTTGCATCAGTCTTCCACCAGCCCAAGGGGATCATCCTGCCTGACAAGATGCAGGATCACCAGGAAAAGGGCGAACGTACACCTATCACTGGCATGGATCTTGTGAGGGAACACCTTGAGCGGCTGGACACCCACAAATCAGCTGGCCCAGATGGAATGCACCCAAGAGTGCTAAAGGAACTGACTGACATCATGGTGTGGCCAATGGCAAGGTTATTCAAGAACTCACAGTGGTCAGGTGAGATACCTGAAGATTGGAAGAGGGCCAACGTGATGCCTATTTTCAAGAAAGGGTGGAAGGAAGATCTGGGGAACTACAGGCCCAGCAGTTTGACCTCAATCCCTGGAAAGATCTTGGAAAAAATAATCAAGGAAACCATTAACAACAGGTTAACAGAATGCAACACGCTGAGAGAGAGCCAACACGGCTTTGTTGCGGGTAGGCCTTGCCTGACCAATCTCATTTCCTTCTATGACCAGGCGATGCATCACTTGGACAAAGGAGAAGAGGTTGATCCAATATATTTGGACTTCAAGAAAGCCTTTGACCTGGTGTCCCATGATGTCCTCATGGTAAAATTGGGGAACTGAGGCCTCAACAACCTAACAGTCCAATGGCTGGGAAACTGGCTCCGTGGATGGACCCAGAGAGTGATAGTTGATGAAACTGAATCAACACGGCACAAGGTGACCAGTGGTGTCCCCCAGGGCTCCATTCTTGGACCTGTACTCTTCAATCCATTTATAATGGATCTAGACTCTGGTGTCAGAAGTGGACTGACTATGTTCGCTGACAACACCAAACTATGGGGAAGTGTGGTCACCCTAGAGGACAGGCTGGCGATTCAGGCTGATCTCAACAGGCTTGCAAGGTGGATGGATCAAAACCTGATGGCGTTCAGCACGGAGGTTGCAAGGTGCTCCACCTCAGGAGAAACAACCCACAATCACACTTATAGGCTTGGCAGTGCTACAGTCGCTAGCACCATGACTGAAAGAGACTTGGGGGTCATCGACTGATCACAAGATGAACATGAGCCACCAATGCAATACCACATCAGGCAAAGCAAACAAAACTCTGGCTTGTATCTACTGATGCATCTGAAGCAGGACCCAGGAAGTCACCCTCCCACTTTACTCTGCCTTGGTGAGGCCGCAGCTGCAATACTGTATCCAATTCTGGGCTCTCCAATTCAGAAAGGATGTGGAGAAACTTAAGAGGGTCCAGAGGAGATCCACACACATGAGTAGAGGACAAGAGAGCAGGCCTTATGAGGAGAAGCTAAGAGCCATGGGACTCTTCAGCCTGGAAAAGTGTAGGCTCAGGGGTGACTTGGTGGCAGCTTATAAGTATATATGGGGCAATACTGTATCCAATTCTGGGCTCTCCAATTCAGAAAGGATGTGGAGAAACTTAAGAGGGTCCAGAGGAGATCCACACACATGAGTAGAGGACAAGAGAGCAGGCCTTATGAGGAGAAGCTAAGAGCCATGGGACTCTTCAGCCTGGAAAAGTGTAGGCTCAGGGGTGACTTGGTGGCAGCTTATAAGTATATATGGGGGTGTACATCAGGAACTGGGAGAACATCTGTTCACCAGAGCACCCCAAGGGAAGACAAGGCCCAATGGTCACAAACTCCTGAAACACCATTTTAGGCTGGACATAGGGAAAAACTTCTTTACTGTCTGAATCCCCAGGGCCTGGAATAGAATCCCCCCAGAGGTGATGCAAGTGCCTACTCTGGACGCTTTCAAGAAACATTTGGATGCCCTTCTTGCTGGGATCATTTGACCCCAGCTGACTTCCTGCCTCTTGGGAAGGGAGCTGGACCTGATGATCTTGTGGGGTCCCTTCCAGCCCTAATGTCTAAGAATTTATGTTCCATGCTACTGATTTTAAATGCACAGTGGGACAGTCTCATCTCTGTAAGTGGGTTCTGTAAAACTACCCAGCATGCAGACACTAATGCTTACCGAGTTCTCTGCATTCATGTCACTGTATGATTCAGTCTTTGGTTCAACAGCTAATTCAGCTTCTAAAATCCTTTCCACAGGCATGTCCTCGTTACTATTGCTCGTCGACTCGGCCTCATTCTCACTCCTCTCTCGGCTTCTCTGCCGCTCCTCTTGCACAGCTGGAAGACAGGAGAACATGCCTCTGTACCACATAGGATGCTGGCACCAGATTGCTTCCCCATCTTTCTAGCTCATTGTACATGAAGGACAGACTGATCCCCTCTTCTCTGGGATCAAAGCACAGAAAACTCTGCCCACTATTCAGAGCATGGTTGATGGTAAGGATAGAAATATAAAAAGGTGGGCATCAGATGCTAGCCACTGTTGACCTGGTAATTCAGAAGGAAACATTATTGGCCTAATTCATTACAGCTTTGTACTTTGTGTACATGTATACCAATGCAAAGATGAGTGCAAAATGGTACCATTCCGACACCTGGGGCATGCAGAGATTTAAAATGGCTTTGGATATGGCAAGGCAGAAAGGAATCAGGCCTTTTTGGTGGAAAAAGGAGTAGCATAATTAAGGCAGGGTAATCAGAGCAGATGCTCCAGGTACTAACTCAGTGCGGGGTAGAAAAATAGAAGCTGCTGCTGCCACAGCTGCACTGGAAGCAGAAGAGCATCCAGATCCTGTCGCTGCCTCTGTGTATTGCAGCTGCCCCAGGTACCTAGCTGACTTGTTATGACTCTGGGAAAAAACAGGAGTGGTTTGAGGGCCTGAACAGAAAACATGTTTATATTGACGTCATCACCATTACAACACCGCAAAAATGTAGTAAAGATGCTGTAGCTCCCTAAAAGAGAGGTAACTTTACATAATTTGATGGAGAATTATTTTTGGCCATCCGTCATCTTACCCCAGAGTTCCCTTTTGCTCAAGACAAACAGGTTGTTATGTGGTCTCCTGTTACCTAGAGGCAAGACAGAACTAGTAGCCTATACTATAGTCTGCTACCCAAGGATGAGCTTCATGTCTATACACTGGCCAGAGTATAATTTACATTGAGGGACCAAACCCCCCCCAATGTAAATGATATAACAGTATGTGATCTTACGTCTATGCCCTTAGTTTGTCAAACCAAGATCACTCTGGGTTTTGGTTTTGCCAATTTTTAATCCAAGCATGATTTGGATTAAAATTTCATTTTTATCTGAACACTCAAAGTTGTTCATTTTTGCTTAATCTTGTGTACGCATGACAGGAAAGGGAAGAATTCCAAAAAATGATTCAATTTTGGGGGCATTTCTGTTCCCTAAAACATTGCATGGTCATGACCCCTTGGAAAAAAGAATCAACCTAGGACAGTGAAATATGAGCCATCATTTTAAAAGAGGCATGCTGGTATTCTTGCCTGGCAATGCAAGCACACTGGCCTGCAACCCCCAATCAAGCAAAAGCAGAAGAAGATAGAAGATGACACATTTCCAAACATCAAGGATTCAATGAGGAAGTCTGTCAAGGTAGCTGCACCAGTTTGTTGTAGTGCAATGCAGCAGTTTTTACTTACCTGCACTGTTACTGGTACCCATACAAATTCAACCTGCTCATCTCTTTCTCTATGGATTTAGATTGCCTCAAGACCATCCTTTCCCTCAGGACCATCTCAACACCCATCACTGTTTCACCTCACAATTTACACTGACCTCCCAGCTAGCAAGTAGTAGTGTGCTAAAATTAAATCCCCAGAACTGAAAAGCTGTCTCTGGGGTGTCAAAAAGAACCCTGGGTCTGGCCATCCCTGCAATGTGAACGTATTCAGCTTCAGATCCAAGATCCATGACTAACGGAGAGTCTCTGCTAAGAGCAAATGTCACCTAGCAGCATCTGAGGAAGTTTATTTCTCGACTGTTACACCATCTCACAGACATACTGTATTACCATAGGGACCGCAAGTACTCAGAAAGAGACCAGCAAATAGTAGCTGGAATGGAGAAAGTGAAGGCTTAGGAAGAAGATGGTTCATAAACATCTGTCTGATAAAGTGACCTGTATAATGGCCTGCTTTGTTCACCAGTCTGCCCCCTCCCATTATGAAAGTCTGTATCCTGTTCTGCAAGCTTGGCTGTCATTGATAGCTACCAAACACTTGGATATACTGTTCTACAGTGGAGGAACACTTCTGCAGATGAAATACTCTGGTCAGGCACAAGCGTAAGAAATTGTCCCATCATCTTTGTTTAGGATTTAAAACACAGGGGTCCAATTCTCTGTTCTGCCAAAGACTTCAGGAATGACCTTGGACAAGTCACCTATTTACCACTGTGTCAATTAGCATAGTGGGACACTAGCACTCGCATGCTCAAAAGGACTACACTGTAGTCTACGTTGCTGAAATAACATCAGTGATGGGGAGTAAAAGTGGCTTTGAGAGACACAAGTAGAAGGGAAATGAAAACTTTATAGAAACAAAGTATCGTGACTGAGCCTTGAATAAATGCCAGGGTTGGCTTTTTATTTTATTTTGGGTCGTGCCTACTGTTAGTTAGAGCCAGTTCAACTTCAGCAATTAAACCCTGAACCTGCTGGGCCTCTGGAATAAGTCCAGTGGGAACATGGAGTAGTTCCACGGCTGTGTTCCAAGTCAGTCCAAAGTGAGAGATGATTCTGGGTGGAAACTAGGCAAAACTTGCCGCCTCCTTCTCCTTTCTCCCCCAGCCCTTAAGGTTTCAAAACTTCCACAGCTTTGGGAAACTTACAGAGCAGGAACAGGATGAATGGGACACTGATTTTGCTACTCTGTAACTTTCCTGAAGTCAAACTTTTGAAAATTTAGAGTGGGGGGAAAAAAAAAAGTGAAAAAAACCCCCAGTAATCTTTTTTTAATGTGGCAAAAGGGGAAGAAATGGGGGAAGAATGGGAGGGGGAAGATGACACTAATTTTTTAGCAGCATATATATAATTTGAATACCAGAATATATATAATTTAATTCAAGTGTTAATGTATATTTTAGTGATAATTTTAAAAGTCTTTTCTTGTTTTAATTTTGTAAAATGAAAACAAGTTTTGAATTTATTTCATTTTATTTTATTTTTGTAAAACATTTTTTTTGTTTTTTCAGACACCTCTGGTTGTTATTTCTAACTTGATTCTCTAACTACAAATAGGCGGAATGAGGGTTTTTTTCCTGATATTCCACACCCCTTATAGGTAAGGGAGATGCAAATAAATAGTGCTTTTACAAGGGGATTGAAGGATCTGGTTGTTTTCTGTGTGTTTACACTTAGAGTTATTTTCTATCACATCTGCCCTGATGCATCCATTCTGATCACGGCTTAAATCTGACACCATCTAATTCAATGCGTCAGGAGAGAGCTCCTTGGAAGCATCTAAAAGTATTTTATACATAAAAGGAAAATGTTGTCCTGAGGTCATTTCCAACTAAGTGCCTGATAATGCTAGAATCTTTTTACTAGTGATGGACATTCCTCAAAAAGATTCATTGGACAATGTGGTTTTGAAAGACACCGCAGATTTCAGATGCTCAGCCAAGCCTTATCCAAACGTTGTGCTTTTCTTGGCCCTACATAATCAGGCTAAGAAATATATTTCTCATGGTATTTTGAGATAGCTGAGATTGACTCTCCCTGAGCCCTGGATGCTCAGAAATGCACAGGTCTTTTTGGATAAAGGAGTTTTTAAAATAAACTTTATGAAACTTTCAAAACAACTGTAGAGCTACAGATTCAGCTTGTGTGAAATAGCTGTCAATGGAGCTATGGCTAGCTGTGTGAGCTGAGGATCTGGCCCTGAAAGGTCATGGTCTAAATTTCAGAAAAAGTTTTCATCAGTTATCATTTAGATCTTTCTATCTTAGATACTAATGTACCCCTGCTCCCCTGGCACCCGAGTACCTTACAGTCATTAATGCAGCAGGCCTCACCAATGTCCATTGTTGTACTGCTATTCCCATTTTACAAATGGGGCCCTGGCACACAGACACCAAGTGACTTGTCTGAGGCCAGACAGGAAGTCTGTGGCAGAGCAGAGAACTGAACCCATCTTTCTCAGGATCTGTGGGCAGTCTTGCCTAGTGGTTAGGCTTTTGGAGGATGGCAGGAGGCAAATTACAGACCTGATCATGGGGCAGAAATCAGGGACCAAGCTACTGGATCTAAAGGAAAATCCAGAGGCTGAGTACAGAACAGGCTGGCTCAAGTTTCAGGAGGCTGAGAACAAGTTACCAAATCCAGAGGGAAATGCAGAGTCCAAAACACACGCAGGGTCAGTGTTGAGGAATCAGATGCCTAAGTTACCAGATTGAAGGGAAAATCCACAAGCCAGGGTTCAAGAACAGAGCCAAGCAGGGTCAGGCACCACAAAAGCCAGAGGGCACAGGAACAGAAGGGATTACTGAATAGACTGATCAAAACAGTTGGCTGACCTGGAGTCCAATCCCACAGCTGGGGCTAAATGGGGAAGCAGCTCTCCCAGCAGCCAATCAGGAGGCCCAGACAGCAGAGGCATTAGTCCTTAGTTGGGTTTGGGCTGCCAGTCAAAACCCCAGGCAGATGTGACCGACTAGGCAATTACCCGACCTGGGCTGCCTGTTAGGGTCCAGGCTAACATCCTAACCACTGAATCACTCTTCCCCCTCCTAGGAAGTCATCAGCTCTTCCTACTCTTCAGTCCAGAGGCAGGCCATATCTATTAAAAACCTTCATCTCTGTCCTAGGACCTTGCAGGTAAAGATTGTCTGTAGATCAGTCCAGCCTTGCTGGCAGGGGAAGAGATGACTGCTAGAAATCTGGCCCTCATTGTTTATGAGTCACATAGGATGTCTCGTGGAGTAGGAATGAAGACCTACTCTCAACAATGCAGGCTGTAACCACTGGGCACTGACCACTGGGCAGTGGGCAGGCTGTAACCACTGGGCACTGGGCTGTAACCACTGGGCACTTAGAAGACAAAATCCTTTGTCTTCTAAGTCAGGATTTTACCTATAACCTTTTTCTGGGTTACACCTGGTGCTGCCTATTGGTCTTAGTCACCTGTTGCCTCTCATCTCCTAACTATACTTGAGTTGAGAATAGTCTATGGATCCTGACCAACCAGCCATTCTCTTTCCTTATCCTGTCTGAGAACCACTGCCAAGTGCATAACTGCTGGGGTGAGCT